TGATGCTTGTTAAAGAGAGCATATTCCAAGCAATCTCTGGCTTTTCTGAAGGGTGGATTTTACACTGTCCCTTTTACATACTGTTCAAGTGATTCTTGAGGACTCCAAATTTAAGATGGGCCACAGTATAGAACAGCCTCCGCGGTAAGTCAATTTGAGTTATAAAGACTTTGCACAGTGTGGAGTCTTATTTAATACAACTTCTTTGGTTTATGAGGCACATGTTTCTTACTTATGAGGACAAGGTTAGATTTTGCAACCCTTATGAATCACAGAAGAACAGATTTCATGAGATCATCTGTGGTCGGGGAACAGTGTCGACTGAGAGGACCTGAGGTACACAAGGGTAATCATCTCATCATTTCCAAAGCTTCTGTTGACTTTTTTCACTGTTCTTGTACAACAAAGTTTCATTTTCCTATTTGCAGAGTAGCCCTTGCAAACTTTGTGAGCAATACTCCTTTGGACTCTTTACGTGGAGTTGCTCAGACAGGAAAAGGTACAGCCTGTCCCCACCATTACAATTAGTGATAAATACTGGATTAGTATTTGTTTTTATTTTGGCATAAAAGAGATGGATTTGGGGTTCAGGGATACATAAAAATGTTATGTTTTCAACTTTTGAAATTTTGACTGCCAAGATCCCCTTCCCTGGGAATAAATTACTATTATAAGGTAAAGATATGGTTTATTTTTCTCACCTCAATTTTTCCCCTACATCCTTGGAAGTGGCAATATACTTCACTTTGATTCCACATAGAAACATACTTCTCAAGAGTCCCCCTAAAGCAATTATTCCCTTCTCCTGCAGCAAACTGTGACCAGACACACAGCTTGGAGGTTTCTCCTAATCATAAAGATCTGGGCAATAGATTTGGAGATGAGCAGAAAAACAGGGATATGGGAAGGAAGGAACCTGCCTCAAGCAAAAATAACAACTGAGCAAGAAAGACTGCTATGCAAGGAGCCAAGTAAATTCTATTCACATGTTTCTCACCTGATTCTTATGTTAACCCAAAGATTCTCATGTTATCCCCATTTACACATAAGGAAATAGAGACAGAGAACAGCAAATTGAGACTAAGCAGTTGGTAAATAAGAGGACAAACTCAGAATTTGTAAAAACACATCTTTCATTTCTAGGTCAACAGTGTTTCTTTGGTGTTATCATCCTCAAAATCATTTCTGGGCAATCTGGGTCCAAAACCAAGAATTACTGGTTAGATAGCAGAGTAAGGCAGATGCCACAGTAGAAACGATAATGTTTAATGCATTGGTCTAGGGAGAAACAACTATTCCACACTTACTTTCTAAAGCAGACAACTCAACCTTGACAAAGATGTGATGGCACCTAGGAGTAAGAAGTTTCCCCAATCTACGCAATCTCAGGAGAAAATACACATTTACTTCAGAAGTAGAAAATGGTGCTACAACATCTTTGCTCCACCATCAAATGTTTATAACACACCCAAGAGGTGCTTCACGGACGACCTTTCCACACCAGCACAGTTGCCACTCTGCTCTTGGGCTTGTGGTCTGCTGCACCTCCACAGCGCTCTCTTTAGGCTCTGCGTCCTTGAGGGGCCCTGCCCTCTTGCCTCTGCCTTGTCTCATCCTATCTCTCGCCTGTCTCCCTCTCTCTTGCTGTCACACACATCCTGGTTTCAGCCACATGGAACCGGTCACTATTCCGTACCTTTTGCAAAGTTCACAGTTTCAGACACAGAGAAAAAGCTTTCTGCCAGTTGACTCTTCCTCAGCTCTTCACACACATCCTGGTTTCAGCCACATGGAACCGGTCACTATTCCGTACCTTTTGCAAAGTTCAGTTTCAGACACAGAGAAAAAGCTTTCTGCCAGTTGACTCTTCCTCAGCTACTCCAGGCCCCTGAGTCAGAGCTAGTTGCTTCCCCTCAGGTGTTCCCTCAGCACCTCTTCTTTAACAAAACCATTTCCTACGTTACATTATTATAAATCCCTTTGTTCAAGGCTAGACGGAAAGTCTTCAGCAGAAGGACTGCCATTTCTTATCTCCACATCCTAGTACTACATAGGTACAATCCTATGGCACACAGTAAGCCTGAATCACAATTTGCTGAATGAATGAAGTTTTGAATCAACAGGGCTGCGCTATGAGGTGTGATCAACGTATACCGTCAGTGTTTAAATAATAATTAAAATGTACCTAAAGTAAAAGACCCACTGCTGTCAACTCCCCTCAGAATACTCTCCTTACCTGTGAACACACTTATCCTTTCATTCTTGTCTCTCTGAAGCAGTTCTGTAAGTCCTTTTTCATGAGTGTCTTTCTGGGGTACGATCAAAAATACAGTGAATGCTGCTGCTGAGTGTCATCCAACGGAAACATAGGCTTGTAAAAATACCACACTGTGTCCTCACCCACTGTGTTAACAAGATCTGGTATTATGGGACTTCCAGCTCTTCTCTAAAGTCAAAATGATCAGAAGAGCTGAATGTTTTGAAACGATTCAGAAAGTTGAGCCAACCACAACAGTGCAACTAAAGTCACTCACCGAGGAAGACTTCCAGAACCGTTTTAGAAAATGACAAGAAAGATGAAATACCGTGCTTCCTTGAAAATAAGACCTCCGGGGCGTGATGGCACACACCTGTAATCCCAGCACTCCGGAGGCTGAGGCAGGAGACCAGCCTGAGCTACACAGTGAGTTCCAGGTCAGTCTCAACTACATAGTGAGACCCTGTCTCAAAAAGCAAAAAAACAAAACAAACAAAAAAAAGAAAATAAGACCTAACCACAACAGCCTACGCAGAACCAGCCCTAGCTGGTTGGTGTCATGGGTGATGGCCAGTGTCATGATGAAGATTATATCTCATTATTCTCTTGCTCAGTGGCTAATCTGTAATGGCAAGAAAAGCAAGTAAAGGTTGAGAGGGGCTGGCATTTTTTTCTGGTTCGGCCTTATTTTCAGGGAAATGTGTATTCAAAGTGAAAAGTATTTTGAGGGGCATTAATAGCAATGTGCTCTTTACTATAATCATAAAAGAGTTAACATTCACCATATTTTTAATCACACTTTGCATTTGCCATCTCTCTTCCAAAGCACACTTAGAGTACTTTTCACTGATACTTGTGTTTTGATTAGCCACTGAGGAAAGAAAGTTGAGAATTATTTCTGAATGAAATGTGTATTGCTAGAGTCCATATTTTGGTGATCAAATAGGAAAAGCCCTGTAAGCATTTTGTTACTCTAACAAAGCAACCAAACTCTCAGAATTTCTGACATCCCAATCCTCCACTATTCTAAGAAGGTATAACTAATTTACAACAAAAGCTTCTCGATTTAGATCTGGCATAGCTCGCTCTTTCTACTTTCTTTTCTTTTCTTTTCTTTTCCTTCCTTCCTTCCTTCCTTCCTTCCTTCCTTTCTTTCTTTCTTTCTTTCTTTCTTTTTCTTTCTTTCTTTCTTTTTCTTTCTTTCTTTCTTTCTTTCTTTCTTTCTTTCTTTCTTTCTTTCTTTCTTTCTTTTTCTTTCTTTCTTTCTTTTTCTTTCTACCAGGGATCAAACTCGGGACCTTACACTTGCAAGACAGGCGGCGGCACCATTGAGCTAAATCCCCAGTCCTTAGCCTTTTTTCCTTTTTTTTTTTTTTTCATGTATTAATTTCACAAACATTCATTGATCACTTACCATTTCCCAGGTACCATTTTAGGATCTGGGGATGCAGCCGCAAACAAATTAGACAATAATCCTTCACTAAGCTTTTTATTCTATTGGCAAAAAGAGATGATAAATAAGTAAAATATGTAATATACCTGGCAGTGATAAGTCCTAAAGAGAGAAAGGTCTCAAAAAAATATTAGGGGAGTCAAACTTTAGACTGAATAGCCAAAGAGGGCCTTCCTGACATTTAAGACAGAAGACAGAAGAAATGAAAGAGCAAACCATGCGGATATTCTGGGCAAGGCAAGGCAGCAGGGCAAAGGTTCAGAGAGGGGAATGAGCCCAGAGCACTCAGGAGACAGCCAAGAGGTGGTCGTGGCAAGATCAGAGGGAGCCACGGAGAGTGTGTGGGCACTGGGGCCAGATAGGTAAATGGTTCCTAGAGACAAGGGAACCACAGGCTGAAGACCCAGGTTTTGAAGAATCAAATGTATGGATGTGCAAACCAATGAGACTTCCCACGGGAGTATTAGCAGAAGGGACTGCGGCTGAGGAGCCACAGTCAGAGAAGCAAGGGGAGGGTGTCCGACCTAAGAGTCCATGGGTGACAGCAGCCTTGTGGGTGGTGAGTGGTTTATTCTGTTGGCATCAGAGTCCAACGTGACTGATTCTAGGGAAGAGGGAGAAGCCTGGGAAGTGGCAAAGAGCACAGAGGAAGACACAGGCCCCTCCGAGAAAGCCAGCAGTAGGGGGATGTGAGAGAGAAGAGGGCAGCCAGTGTGTTCAGGGAGAGGTGGATCTGCACGGGAGAGCCAGGGTTCAGACTCCAGTGGAAAAGCCAGAGAAACAGCAAATTTTGTAGATGACTCTGATTTCGCATAACACAAGGCCTAGGAAAGGATGGCAGGTTTATAAAGACTGTGAGATCAGGACAGGAGACTCAGTTCTCTTCTTACCCAGTTTCTTTTCTCTTTCTCAGTTTTCAGTTTATTTTAGTTTTTTATTCGTCCTTCTCTTTTCCTCTTTCTTTCATCTTTCCCCCCTTTATATCATACCTATACATTTATTCAATTTATCATAAGTTTTCTTATCCTATTTTTTCATTAGCAGTCATTTTTCTTCTGGCCCTCGTGTGTCCAAGCTTTCTTTCTGTCTTATCTTTTAAACTTCCCTTTAGAAATGGGTAATCTTGTTTCCCCCCAGCTTTCCTTCTCTCACGGCTCAATGTTTCATCCTAGTAACTGGGGATGATCCATGTGGTTGTTTTTTAAAGCCTCCGATGTTACCCCAGAGAATACCTTGTCAGTTGCCCAGCAACCTTATGTCTTCAGCACATAAAAATGTCCCTTCCCTCACCTGGACCTTGACAGGTTCCATCCAGTGCTCCAGCTTGTCGGCAGTGATATTCTCTGGCAACATGACGGGATCGTTAGGGGGGATTATACACGATGGAAAACACACTGCTCCTGGATGAACACAAATTCAAAGCAGAGAGTGAGCTTCTTTGTTTGCAGTCTTTTTCATTCTGCAACCAAAAGCTTCAATATTCCAAGAGCAATTGCTTTTTACATCGCGGTTCATCACACTGTGATAGTCTGAAACAGGCCTGATACTCATATAATGTGCACTTTTAGGGATATTTTTACACTAATTGGTAAAGAGCCACTCTCACAAGCTAATTCTCCTGCCCCTAGGTATCCCCTCCTCCGCCTGGTCCAATATTCCTTTTCTCTGGGATTTGTGAGTCTCTGCGTGATCTAGTAATTCTGAGATGGATTCTTGGTCCAGCAGACACACTAGACACCATTCCAGTAAGCTAACAAGCAGAACTCTATTCTGATTGGCTGATGCATTGTAAGTATATTTAACCTTATTCCTGCTTGTGTGGTCTCCCGGAAGCTGATAATTGCAGCAATTACTACCTAAAATTTGACTAGTTGTGGGAAAAAATAGCTCAGAAATTATGAAATTACTCCAGGGATATCCTGTCAGTTGCTACACTGACTATCATTACATCAGCAGCCAGGAGACCTGTGCAATTGAAGGAGGAAACAACCAAAAATCAGAAACAGAGGTTTGGGCCATTTGTTGGTCCCTAGGAGGCAAACCTTGCTGTTTCCTTATTGGGGGAATCCAAGTGTCATTTAAAATTCTTCTCAAGGCGAACACATTCTCAGGGTTCTCTGTTTCTTCATCTATAGATCTGATGATCTCCTAGTTTCTCTTCAGCTGTCAGTGTCTATGTTCCATTGTTTTTCAAAACTTTAATAATAATAAAGTGCTACACCAGCCTTCGGGACTCTAAGTACTAGAGTATCTAATATTTTATTACAGTAATTGGAGGCTTTGAAAATAAGCATCTATTTATGATTCATTCAAGGGCATATCAAGGCCCGGTGTGGTAGTGCACGCCTGCAATCCCAGCACTTGGGAGGCTGAGGCGGGAGGATTGCTATGAGATTGAGACTAGCCTGGGCTACATAGTGAGTTCCAGGTCAGTCTCAAATACATAGTGAGACCCTGTCTCAAAAAAACACCCCCCCCAAAAAAAAGAGGCTTATCAAGCTCTTTGATCCTCCGGGCCTGACCACAGGACCTCACTAGGCAAGAACATTACAAAGGTGATAAAGAACCATTTCAGAAACTCATGAGTATTCTACTGAACACACCTTATACTCAACGGCATTATACAGGCTAAAGTGCTCTATAAAATTACTCCTGCGTGATTCAGGATTTAGGAGTAATCTTACAATGTTTCACACAACTTTTAGGGACAGCCAGGGAAGAGTTGTGTCAACATCACTGTAAACTAGTTCTGGCCAGGACCTCTAACTGTAACTACTTGAATAAGAAGTTGATCAGAGGACCTGGAGCCTGGCCTTCTACAGAGAATGAGTGGCTAAAGATTAATACAAGTAAGTGCAGTCTCAAATCATCCCTTTCAGGAACTCTGCATTTCTCTAACAACCACTAAGAGAATGAAGGATTCTTATACACAAGTGATTATGACTACACATCCCCTCCTTTCCTCTCGGAACTATAATTACTGCTACAGATCCAATTCAGCTCTGCAACAGAGTGGGTAATGCGTGAGCAGACAGCCACATCAACTTTATACTTGTGTGGAAGACTAAGGAGAACAAATTTAATTGGGCCATAGTAGCAGTCCATCATCCCAGCACTTGGGAGGCTGAGGCGGAAGGATCATCTCAAAGTTGAGGCTGACACGAATGTTTATGGATACATATGTAACCATCATATATGGTTACATATGTGATGAGGCCTGTCTGAGCTATATGTGTTCAGAGCCAGCCTGATCTACACAGTGAGACCCTGCCTCAAAAAACCAAACCAAAACAAATAAAGGGGAGAGAGAGAGAGAGAGGGAGAGGGAGAGGGAGAGGGAGAGAAAGAACAGATTTATCATGAATTTTATTTGTACTGAAGCAGCCAAGAATTAATTTGCGCTTCCATTTACTTTTTAGGGAGAACAGTGTCACTGATTCAAGATCCAGCCAGGCTTAATAAAATGTTAACTTGGGAACAGATATCAGCATTCCTTCACTTTCTTACCAATCCCATGTCCCTGCTCACACTTGTACTCCAGGAAATTCAGCTCTGAAGGAGGTGGAGGGCATTCCCCTTGCAGGTTCTTACACAACTTGAATTCCCGGGTCCACAGCCCCTCTTTATTGCACACAATGGGAAGCTAGAATATCAAAGGTGAAGAATGTCCTATTATTGTTTTGATAACCTCATTAAGAATGGAGAAAACGTGGCCTAATTAAATGGCAACATATTTCAACTTCTAGAATGTGGGCTAAAAGACACTGTAATGAACTATGCTGGAAATAGCAAAAATTAAAATAAAATAAAATAAAAGAGGCAAACCAAGACATCTCCTTGTTGTTTCCATGTAAAAAAAGTCATGAACAATTTTGACATTGATGAAACTTGTCAACAAAATATTTCTTTTAAGCTATAAGGATATGTTGAGCTATTGACCATAACCCATGTAATCTGAGATATTTTTAGAAAATTCCCCCAGATGGTACTCTTTTTCATTGATTCATGCATATTGTCACAAAAATGATGCTTTCTGCAAATATCTAGGTGTTTTTTCAAGATGAATTTTGTTCTGTGAAATCAATTTTTAATTTTTCTTAAAGATCTATTTTTGCCTTTGTATTAGAATAAGCACATCATAGTTTCTTTTGTTCTATTCCCTTTCTCCATGTGCGCTGACTTGTATAACTCTTAGCTTCACACCTTCAATAATCACAAGGTAAACTCTATCTAGAATACAGGAACTAAGTAAAACCAAGAAAATTAGATTTTAGAAATATAGATGGTCAAATCTTTAATTCAGTTCTTTAACTCAATCAGTGGAAACATAGATGTTTTATCTTTTTGGGGTCTCATATCATATTCTTTCCACATCTGTTCCACAGTGCTTACTTTTGAGTGCTGAACACTAACTTAAGGACATGTGGCAAAGAGAAGTCAAAGTCATTGATCGGAAGAACGTTTGACTTCCTGTCTCATGGATATGCGTAGTGCCTGAAAAGATTCCAAAACAAAATTGATTTTAGTCCCACACCCACTTAAGACTACACTTTTCATTTGAGATCTCCTGTGCTAAAATCCTACAGAGGATAACAGTCATGCATCACTTTGCACTTTGCTGAGGAATCTGTGTTCACACATACACACACACACAAAGTCAGGATGCCAGAATTATTTGGAATGCACCTGAGTACTCTACCCATAAGATTCCTCTTCTACCCTCAAGGAAGTTCTGAACTTGAGAGAATATTCCAAAACATATTATCTTCTTAATTTCTTATTGAATAATATTGTATGAACACCTCTGGTTAGAATCCCAGACATTCTCTGTTGGGATTATTTTCAGTCCTTTCAGCTCAACACTTTTGGCATGGCAGTCAAGATTTGTATATAGTGTAGTGTGATCCCAAACAAAGTCCAAGGAGTCTTCCTTACCCTTTCACTTTCCTGCTTGCAGTTAAGCACACACTGGCTGTCCAAATTGAAGCCATTGGTACACTCATACATGCCTCCAAAAACAGGAGAAGGAGGCTCGCACACCACTGGCATACAGCTGCCTTCCTCCCAGACTCCACCTTCCAGGCACTGTATCTTCAGGAACTTGCTGATGAGACACGAAACAAAATTGGCCGTTAGATTCCTCCAGAAGGTCATGAGAGAAGACTGGATCTTCAGCAATACAAGAATAGGATTAGCAAATAGGCAGGGATAGATGGTTCTTGTTAACATTTGTCTGAGCACCCCAATCTCAAAAAATGGTAATGTTCGTTTATTGGCAGTGGCAGTAGGTATTGTATAGTAACACTTGATGTATTACTCTCAAGAGGGTTTGATAAATAGTGCAGCATCTTGATTGCTTATAGCCACGTTTTCTTTGAGATTCTCATCTTGCAGAAGTTTCACATCTAAGTACAATGGAAAATGCTAGGTATGTGGAATATAGAAAAGATTCTCATACACACTCAGGGAAGTAATCAGATATGATTTAGGACCATCAGTGTTGATATGATGACATAAGTGATAAGTTGTTAGTATTTCTTATTTTTTGAAGAGAAGAAAAAACTGTAGGAATATGAGTATTGTTTTAAAATAGACTCAATCTAGCCTTCAAAATGCCCACTAACCTCCTTGAACTGCTACAATTGTGTTGCTTGCAAATCTGTTTTCCCCTGGAAAATTTGTACCTTTCACCAGATTCTCAAAGCAGGTTATGACTCATTATTGTCCTGGAAGAACTGCCACTCCCCCCATGCACAGACCCAACCTCCAACCAAAAGGCTGTGCTTGAGGTGGAGAGAAGTCAAAAGAATTAGGTTTCTTGTTACTGCAAATTCCATTCCATTCCCCTTCTGATTCTCTGCAGCCTGAAGGTGATTTCCATTTGTGCAGTTTTAACACATCCACTTCTGACTCAGAACAATCCTGGCTGTAGAAAAGCCGTGACTCTAAAATATAAATAGCCCTTGGCCATTGGCTGTGGCCATCACGCAGTGCTCTTTGGTCAGCATTTCTAGTATCATCATGCCCCTTTTTAATTTAATCTGCCCATCATCCTATGCATGCTTTCAACTGGCAGTTGCACAATGGTTTCTGTGTGGCCGTCCAGTCCTCTAATCATGTATTAGACTCACATTTATCACTTTGTCATATAAATGTGTCCAAGTCTGTTTTTCCCATTAGATTGGAAGTTTCTAGAAGGCAAAGGCTATGTCTTATTCTTGTTTTAAATTCTCAGATATTAAACAATATCTGGCTTATATTGGGCATTAAATAAATATTTGCTGAACTGAACACATTGGGATGACTAAAGGGTGCATTATATGATAAATTGAATCACTATAACATTACTAATAAAATAATATTTTATCTCCATTTTATTGATAAATTCACTGAGACATGCTTAGTTCTTTTTCTAAAATCTCACATCCCAGAATACACTTGATTTCAAATAATTTCAATGACAATATTTTAATAGTTGAACATATCTTCATAATATCTAATTAGAAATAAGTGCAGTATTTTGTTATTAAATTATGTATACTATACATTTATTTTTCAAAATACTTTAGGATAGAAATATGATTTATGGCCAGGATCCTTTGGTATCATGGCCTATGTGGACACATATCTACTATCTGTCATAAATACCATTTTAGGCTAATGTCAGATGTTTGGGAATATAGCTACGCAAATTGCTTATTTAACTCCCCCAAAAAACAGATACCTATAGTATGATTATCTAAACTTTAGCAAAGGAAACTGAGCCTGAAAGGAATATAAAGCTTGTTCAAAGGCTCAGAGTAAAACTGCAGACAGGATGTGGACCCATGTCATCTTGCTAACAAAGCTTGTGATTTGCTATGTTAGGGCATGATTTTTCCTGCTGTGCTCTCCTGTTTGCCCAGTTTATTAGCAGCTTCTCCATTCCGCTGAACACCCCAGGTGCCTTTTGTCCTGATGCTACATCTATAAATGTGGCAAAAATTCATCAAAAATGTTTGAACTGAATAACAAATTGCATCAATATTAGTATGCCGCTTAAGGATTTTTTACATGTGACCACGGCTGGGTAATCATTGCTCAAGTCTAGATTTTATAGAACATTTTCAGTCCCTCAGAATTTCCCCAGGTTTCTTCCGCATAAAATCTACCTACTCCTACAGCATACAGGATTCTGCAATACACATTTTCACAGTGTAGATTAGTTTTGCTTGTTCTTTATACAAATGAGCTACCTCGCTCTGTCTTCTTTAGTGTATGTCATCTTTCCCTCAAAAAAAGATGCCATTTAGAAAATGTCTTCCCAAATCTATTTTCAGCAAAGGGTTTGCAATTCGTTTTACTGTAATGAGGCTCTCTTTTGGCCCCCTCCTAAACTGGATATTCTACTCTACCTTCTCACTGCAGAATTTAAAATTCTCCCAGGGACGCTCTCTTTTCTACCACCTCCCACAGATGCAATCCTTCCCCTACCTCTGCTGAATTGACATCCCCCAGCCGGAGAGCACAATACTACTGACACCAGGGGAGAAGTAGGGCTGTAAAAACCTTGCATGTCAGCATGATTATAAAGGAAAACCCTTGCTTGGCCAGCATGATAATATTTGTACTTCATGTGGTATTTTTCTCTGAATTGGTTGGAACACTTCAACCATGGAAACAGTCCTCCTTTTCCTTGCCCAGAGTGAGGAACCATTCAAGAATGCTGGTTTCATATATTTCCGTGCCAGTTTAATAACCTCAGGGGTGAGGGTAGACGGATCTAACTTGGATGGGGATGAGGGGTTGGGGTATTTTGGGTGGTGACCAGACAACGTGACAGGCCTGTCCTGCAAACACCAACAACGGAGGGAGAAAGACTGCAGCAGGGTAGCAAAAGAAGCAGTGCAGTTAGCACTGGGGTCCTTAGATCTGAGGGGAGGCTCCTGGGCAGGAGTGAGGAGATGCTGGGAGAGTGTGCTGATGCCCTAAAAGGTCCCATTTCCTTTAAGAAGAAGTTCCTTTACCTCTTACAACATTATGCACTCATCTTCCTTGCATTTTCTTTTCCTGTAAAGAGAAAATGGTCCTGTACAGCCATCTCCCCAAGGGCTTTTCACAGCCTCTATATCTCTACATCAGATAATGCTCTTTAAACGCTATACTCAGACCTTTCCCAAAGCATCCAATTGGTTCCTTGTTCCTCACTGCCAGTTGTGAGAGTGTTTCATTCTTCTTTTTTTTTAAACTTTTTTTCAGTGCCATCTCCCCAAGGGCTTTTCACAGCCTCTATATCTCTACATCAGATAATGCTCTTTAAACGCTATACTCAGACCTTTCCCAAAGCATCCAATTGGTTCCTTGTTCCTCACTGCCAGTTGTGAGAGTGTTTCATTCTTCTTTTTTTTTAAACATTTTTTTTCAGCTTTAATTGAGTTTATTGGTACATTTTAGGGCTACAGTACAGTTACATTCATTGTTGGGATCTTCTACCTCTACATGACAAGTCTTGAGTCTCATTTTTCCCCTTATCTCTGCCTTCTCTTCACCCCCTCCTCCCCTCCCCATCTACAAACACTTTATTTTCATCTTTTCATTCTCTCACATTTTTTTCTTTTCCCTTATCACCCTTCCCCTACCCATCCCTCCTTCCCTACGCCTTTAGCTCCTTTCTTCTCATTTCTAAATGACAGTAATCTTATTAGGATCTTATGTTTTTTTGCAGATTGTTCACACCAGGGAAACTATTCGGTATTTACACATGTGTGACTTATTTATTTCACTTAGGAGTATATCTTCAATATGTATCCATTTTCCTATGAATGAATCTATTTTCTCATTCTTTATGGCTGAGTAATATTCCATTTTATAGAAAAACCACATCTTCTTTATCCAGTTTCCAACGGATGGGCAAATGGGCTGTTTCCAAGATTTAGCTATTACAAACTGTGCTGCTATAAACATGGGTGCGCACACTTCTCTGTGATATGATTCTTTAGTTCTCTTGGCAAGATACCCAGCAGAGGGATGGCTGGGTCAAATGGAACCTCTAGTCCAAGCTCTTTGAGGTATCTCCATATTGACTTCCACAGTGGTTGCACCAGTCTGCACTCCCACCAACAATGGAGAAGGGTTCCTTTCTCCCCACAACCCCGCCAACATTTGTTATTGTGTGATTTGTTGATAGCAGCCATTCTTTGTGGGGTGAGGTGCAACCTCAGTGTTGTTTTCATCTGCATCTCTCGAATGATCAGTGATGTGGAACATTTTCTCATATATTTACTTGCTGCTTTTACTTCTTCTTGATGTCCATATCTATCTAACCTCACTGAGCAAGCCTTGAGATCCTTGGTATGGAGCTTGGAACTTCAGTGTAGTGGGCTCATTCTTGCCATTTTGTTCCAAAAGACATAATTTCACAATTATTGTCATTATGTCAAGAAATCAGTTTCCTGGATTATTCTCAGTTCCAGGTAATGTGTTTCCTTATAAGGTTACCAAAGGGAACTTAAACTTAAGTCATACCACTCATCCTGCTTAAGTTTCAACTACTTAGTGTTATGGACTGAATGACCTTCAGCCAACCCCAGACACATGCTTTTCCTGGCTTGTCATGAAATCCTAACCCACAGTGTGACAGTATGAGGAGGTTGAGCTTTCAGGAAGAAAGCAAAACAAGAGGGTTGAGTCCTCATCATGTGACTAATGCCCTTTAGAAGAAGAGACATAGAACCTGCTCTCTCTGCACTTTGCCACATGAAGATACAGCAAAAAGATGGCCAGGTGCAAAGCAGATATCCTATCTGTTCCCAGATAAGAGGTCTGCCAGATCATCGATCTTGTTTTCTCAGCCTCTAGACATGTGGAAAAACAAATGCTTGTTTTTGAAGCTACCTAGTTTATGGTATTTTTATAGAAGCTTAATCGGACCAAGATACAACAATGGCAAGATTGTGATCTCCAGTGCTGCCTCTGTGTTTCCTCCGGTGTGGTGATGTTGAGGTTGGACCTCTGATTCTTTTGAGATCATTAGTGAAAAATGGGTTTATGGTCCAACTCCTTCATATAACATGTACACATCAAGAGATAAGAGAGTCTGACATGGTGTAGCGAATAGCTTTGCAT